CTTATTACAAGACCTGAGAAGCAGTTCTCAGGGGGATGGTCTTGCTATCAGTTACCTGAGATTATTTAATTACAAGCAACTCATGATTACCTGTAAAGGCGAGAGATACGGTGGAAAACTCAAACAATGGTTGTTGCAAAATCATATAAATTGGCTTAGGAATATCCCGTGTGACTTCACACCCCCTCCTCCAAGAAATTTGCCTTCCTAATTATGTTTTGCTTAGCCCAATAATAAAAATTAGTTAGTTTCCCCAGAGTAGCTCTGAAGTTAAACTGCAGAGGGAGTTGGTTCAAGAGCATGCCAACTGGAATACGGAGGATGAAACATTTTCTGGCACTAATGTGGCAAAAATTCCCAAAGTTAGTTTAATCTTAAAGAAAAACATAATCTTGAGCACCTTACCAGCCTTCACATATTATCTGAAATGCTATAAACATTTGTAATGATTACATAAATGAGATCATTTTTATTTAGATATGTGTGTTTTTACCTTGAGAATGTGTGTTCTCACTCTCATCCTTCTTGGCAGCTAAAGAAAATAATAAACCAATTTTCACAGACTCAAGCATAGTGCTCTGTACACACAATTGGGTGCATAGTGCATTGAAGACAGATTAGGCCAGATTTGGAAAGTTAGACCTAGAGGTGGCTTAGAAATCTTGGATCCTTGGGCTACAAAGTCATTGTCATAGGGGGTTTCTTGACTGAATTATTTTCTTTCTTTCCTTCCTTCCTCCCTCCCTCTCTCCCTCACTCCCTTCCTTCCTTCCTTTCCTTTTCCTGAATTTAAATGACTTCATAGTCCAATATTCCTAGAGCATATGCAAACTTGAAAGCAGGCATATATTCCTGAAATTTATGGTTTTTATACAATTGCAAATCCAAAACAAATTTACAAATTGATTTCAAACAAAATGACAAACTCAGCATTCATATTAACAACATTGACTTAACGTGATGGATATGGTTTGCTAACATTTAATTGCCACTCACAGCATTAATGTTGTTCCAACAGGTATGCTGATGATGTTTTGATTTTAGTATGCCTATATTTCCTCGTAATGTATAAGACAATTCCTTAACACTTCTCTTTAAACTACTGCAAAATTTTGGTCCTCACAGCATGCTGGAACATCATTTAACCTTCACTTGGCACAAATCGTAATTTACTTGGGGGTGGGGTCCAGGTTTTGTGGAGCCTGAAGATTACGCAATTTTTAGGGTTTTTAAAAATATATAAGAGTGTGTGTGTGTGTGTGTGTGTGTGTGTGTGTGTATATGTAATAAAAGTGAAATAAAATTTGCTAGGGTCCCTCCCAAGACATTGGAAGGAATCTGCATAGGAGTCGAAGCTCAAGCTTCATTAGCTTCATGGTAAATCCACCTGTGTTAATGTATCAAGCCCTTCTCTATTTTTTTCTTGTTGCTAATAAAGAAGAATGACCTGGCAACAATGAATAGTGACTTTTTTTTTTTTTAACTTTGGGAAGATCAATCTTAAATTACACATTAGTGTATTTAAAGATTATTCTCAACCTAGAAACAGAAAATCAAATATTGTCATTGATGACACAGAGACGACTGAGAAGTACCTTTTGGTTAAATTCATTTCCCTTGATAAATTCCAAGGAGGAGTTGCTGGAAGCAAGTTTTAGAGCTCTCACCATACTTTTCTTGGTTGGATTTACAGAGGTCAAAGTTTGGAGTGCAACTAGAGAGGTTAGCAGTTCACTTTTCCCAGCCTGCCTGACTTCTCATAGCTTAATCTTTGGGCACAGCTGCTGTGAGCACACAGTCCCTGGGACTCATATCTTGCCCTGCTCCTGGCCTGATGACGAGATTGGGAGGAACTGTGGGCAGGTAAGGCCACAAGGAACCTCAGGCCAATATTTCTCTGGAGGGCAGAGGGACAAACAGAATCCAGAGGTTGGGATCTACCTTGGGGACAATGTCTCAGAGTCCAATGGTTGCAATGAGATGTGTTGTGAGTCCGAGCCAGGGAGGGAAACAGCAGGCACAGGGGATGTTGAAAGGTCAGCCAGGCAACGGAAACCAGGGGTCAGGAAGAATTCTGAGCTATGATATCAGTTGGCATGCATGGTGAGGCATGTATTCATATCAAAACAAAGTGCATTTCATTTTTCAGGACCCAAGATCTTCCTGCCTTCCTTCCCTAGTAGGACTCAGGGATTCTTCTTGGGCTCATAGACACTAGGTCTGAAACCATGCATAAGGACAGGAAGTGGGTGTGGCTCTTCCTTATTGAGGAGATTCTGGAATTATTTTTATCAGAGTTGATTGGAGAATAAAATATGGTAGTCAAGATCAGATCTCTCCTCTCAGGCTCTTTTCCTTCTAAGACAGGAGAACCTTCTGAGAAATCCCCATAGTAGAGAACTCTCATGCTGCAAGTAGCCAGGATACACATTCTGATTTGAGCTGAGTTCTAAGAAAATCTTTATTTTGGGACATTTGAGGCTTGTCATCAAAGAACTCTAACTTTCTGTCTCCCTGCTATCTGTCTGTCTATCTATCTATCTACCTATCTATCTATCTAATCATCTATCTATATTCTTTCTATATATTTTCTATTTTCTCTATATATTTATATTCTATATATTTCTATTTTCTATAGTATATATGTTAGATATATATTACAGAGAGATACATTCTTTTTCTCTCTATATATATGTAGGAAAGTGTTTTGTAAATGGTGAAGAACTACCATATATCAGGTTATTATAATCCCATTTCTGTCCAATGGAGATGCTGATTTTTATCTTGCTTGATAATTGTTTTCAGGTGAGATTATATCACCCGATATATGCTTTTTAAATTTCTTTTTCTTGTTTCCTTTCTGTTTGTTTTCTTTTTGCTTTTGTTTCTTTAGTTTTCTGGTGAAAAATGATTCCATTGGAAATTTTATATCAGAACAACTGTTTTCAGAAAAGGAAGGGATCCTCAGATTTAAAGGAAAAACTTTTCCTAAAAGTCAGAGCAGTCAGAGCTACTAGGAAACCCCTTTATCTAACCAATCAATTCTTAACTATATCACACTCAACTGATGCTTGGGTAGACTATAAATTCCAAGTCACATGAGGTCTTATCAGTTATAATACTGAGCAAGAATTAGCCGCTCTGTTTTGGTAAGATGATAGCTGTGGGCTAATTCATTTTTTCTTGAAATATTTGGGGGATTTGAAAGCTTAAGAAGTAAACAGGTTATTTTGTTCAGAGAACCTTCTCTGAAAGAGTTACCAGGGTTCATCTGATGACATTAGCTTTGCCAGTAATTTCCATGATGTCAAGGGCACACGGGAGATTAAAGAGGGATTAAGACCTGCTTGCACAGTCAAAGCATCACAGTAAATTGACTTGACTTGGCAGGCTGCACTTCAGGTTGGCACCCTTTCACCACCTAATCATATACAATCCAGTTTGTGGTGTTAGCTAGGCTACTTTCACAGAGGCCAAGAAATGTTAAGCAGACAAGGTAGGAGGTGAAAGTTGCCGGGAAGGGGTGGATGGACTTCCAGGAGAATGCTCAAGGCCAGGCTGCCACCATGAGCTGCCGAGGAGGATTAAAACATTAAGGAAAATGTTTGTTGTTGTTGTTGTTCTTTTTTCCCCAGAATCTTTCAAAAATGAATTTCATTTTCTATTTACCCTCCTTCCACCCACTCCCAAGTTTTCCAGATATGTGTTCCTCTTAAAACCTTTTTAATCCCTCAGGTTATTATCAACTCTTCTGCAAAAGGAGTCAGGTTTGCCCAGGAACTTCACTGAATAAAGATGAGTTTATATTTTAAAAAGGAAACAGCTGGATGGCAAAAGCCAGGGAGGGAGGCAGCTCTTGTTTCATTAGCGAAGGGAAACTCGAGGGCCCGGAGAGAACAACTGGGCTGGCAGCCACGGCGGGGAGAAGAAAAGGAAACACACGATCATAAAGAACTAATCATGAAAAATGGAAAGTGAGAAAGAGCCAAGAACAACAAGCAATAAATAGATTTGGAAGGGGGAAAAAGATGAGGGGGAATGAAAAGCCATGCTCAGGAAAGAAGCAACAGAGCATGTGCATTTCATTTGAAAAAAATTAATAGTTCTGAAAATCATTAAACAGGCTTAAGGAAAATGTTTGAAGATAACTTTTCAGACCCAGGTTTTATTTCTACGTGTTGTTTAAGAGTCTATTCCAGTGCATGAAAAAAAAAATCAGATGGAACTAGCGGGAGAAACTTAACATACAATGTGCCTGAGTGATTGGTTTCCCTCTGCTTTTTTTTTTTTTTTTTTTTTTTTTTTTGAGACAGAGTCTCACTCTGTCATCCAAGCTGGTGGGCAGTGGCACAATCACAGCTCACAGCAAAATCAGGGGATTCTAAGATTAACTCGTACAATTC